GTAACGGTAACGGTAACGGTAACGGTAACGGTAACGGTAACGGTAACAGAAACAGAAACAGAAACAGTAACAGTAACAGTAACAGTAATAATAATAATAATTCAGGTGCCATGGATATGAAATTTTCTTTCTTTTTTGAAATTTCTCCAGGCCCGGGGATCGAACCCGGGGTCTCTGCGTGTTAGGCCAGCACGATAACCGTTCGGCCACAAGATAAGAGCTTTCAGTTCGCCTTCAATGACCTGTAAGATTCCAGCTACTTTCGCTGGAGTATTTTTTAACCGACTTCAAAAAAGGAGGAGGTTCTCAATTCAACTGTATGTTCTTTTTTTTGTATATATGTTACGCGATAACTCCGGTATTTATGAACCGATTTTCATGATTCTTTTTTTGTTAGAAAGGGGGTACGTCCCATTTCATTTTGAAGAAAATCATCCACCTTTAAGGGTGGCTGTTCACGCATGAAGATTCATTTTTATAAATAGCGCCTAACTTTTATTTAGGAGCAATTATTTTAATGGTTATTTGTGCTATTTCTCCAATTCAAGGCGTTTTTCTCTCAATATACTTTGAGTAGTGAGAACCGATAATTATTATCTCCAGTGTCAAGTCCTGTATAGTGGCGAACTAGGAGATATTTCAATAAAACTTAGCTAATAGACGTAATTCCAGGTACTTTTGAGGTCAGTGTTTTTAGTACTCTGTATTGAGATTATTTATGATACCAAGTGGTGGGATGAACCAGTCGTGCGCCTGATGGTAAGTGACACGCCTGTCCATAACAGTTGCAATGCCACTAAGAGCTTTAAATCACAAAGACTAGAAGATTAATAGATTCAGACGTTTCTTTGCGGAAGTCCATGTTAATAAAAATGGAAGTTAATTAATTTGCTACTCCGCGAACCTAGTGAAGGTTAAATCGTGCAAAATAGCTGCGCAAAATTGTAGCACGGAGGCAGTTATAGTTAATAAACAATATTTAACTACCAATTCAAATTTAACATGTTTGCCGTACAAAAGACATCAACGCAGCGACTAAAGCATTTTTGTACGTCTTTTACAAATTTTATATTATTTCCGGTGCCTCAAAGTGAGTTGCTGTTTTTAATTTCAGTTTATAATTAGCGATCGCAAAAAATTCCGATGTCGTTTACGACCAATATGTATTTTATTGGTTTTAACCAACATGGTAGCCGATCAGAATTGTAACCGTACGGTCACGGAGGCAGTTCAATTTCAAAAATCAAGGTTAAATATAAACTATAATGGATATATACCCTTGGTATGATAAATGTATTGTTTATTTCTTTTTTATTATAACATATAAGATAAGCTACACGTCTGTTTATAACACTTGCAGTGCCACTCAGAGCTTTAAATCGCAAAGATCTGAGGGGCACTGCGCCCGTCATCCCGAGACATTAGTTTATGTGTGTCTGTGTGTGCCTGTAATTTCACCAGCACTCTTACTTATCAAAACTAAAACGCATAACTTCCATGAACGAACTATTTGACTAAAAGTTCTACTGCTACTAAAATTATAAACCTGCACTTGGAAGAAGGTCCACAGAAGTTGGAAAATGTGTGCAGTCCCCGACCCGCTCTAGGCCAACGCAGCAGACTATAGTGAACCCCTTTTTAGAAAGGAGGCCAGTGTGGAAGCCGGAAGCACTGAGACGAAATTTTATATTAACGGTAATATGCAGAACTTCCTGCGTAAGAGTTCATCCTCCGTGCTACTTCTGCCGCCAAGGAATAATGTGAGCATTGCTGCTTTCTGGTTTTGAAGATTTTTTTTTATTTAATAATTACAAAACATTAATACGGTTTTACTTTACACTTTTAACCTAAACAGATTTGTATGAGTGTTGTAACTCCTCTAACATAATATATAAAATAACAATTTTATTAAATGTACGAAAAAAAAAGCAAAATGTAAGCAAAGTATAACACAATTAATGTTTACAAAAAACAGCTGAGCGAAACGAAACTAGATATACAAATTCCCAAAATACCTTCACATAGGTCTTAGTTTGAATAACGAAATTACGTATTTATTCTCTTTTCGCTATATACACATCAGACTTTGTTCTTCGGGTGAGTCGTTATGTCCGAGTCGGTTCGAAGGAATTTTTTCTGAGAGTTCTATCTTTGTATTAATAATTACGTTTATTTATTTTTTAAATTAATTTCTTGACGAATTGGGTATTCTTGAGACATCAGCTTACACGCATCCATTGCTGGATATAAGCATTCCCCTGAGCACGCCAACACTTCCGGTTCTGTGGGTCTACTCTACTCCCGTTCTCTTCCAAAACAATTACTGTCAAATATGTATACTCCACCAAATGAAAAGACGCATGATGCGATTGAAGCTTCATGTTTGACATTATTTTTTAATTTTGATGGTGTATTACTTATTTGACAGTAGTTCTTTCGGACGGATGTCAATAAAAAAAAAAATATTTTCCGTAATGTAAGCCGTTGAGCAACAGAGGTATTGCTAAGTGCTTGTGCAATAATTCTAAAGTTCCAACTTTTCGGTGCACATCATAATTTACAATACTAAATACAGAAAGTAGCTTCATGTGCCACTTACCACTTAGTCGAAATTACATAAAATTTGAGCATAGAACAAAATAACACCCGTTGAAAACAAACGTTGCCAAGCAACCAACCTAATCACTGCTGTTCTTACGTAAATTTGCCGTCACCATATGTAGTTTTATGTAACTCCACGGATCCCTAAAAGTGGGGAGAGACAATTCCTCAGTCCGCGAACAAACCCCGACCGCACCGCACGTGTCTACACCGAACAATGACAAAAAATAGTTATTAAAAAAAATAAAAAACAAAACCAACTAAATTTGAAAAATAATTGTCAATGTTTGTTATTAAAAAGTTATTTGCAAATTGAATTCGGGCGTAAAATGAAAGTGAAATCCGTAGTGCATTGACCGTCATGATGTTAAGCGAAAATAGATGGAAAGTAATATTGCTGGTCGCGGCGTGCGCGTGCGCAGCCGAGCCGAGTCGCGCGCTGAGCCTAGTCTACCCCCGCCAATACAGCAATATAATGTTCATACCAAAAAACTACAAAAGGACCCGGAAACAGAGAGTTCTATTCCTGGACGACGACGAAAACCATCAATCATTCAATGGACCTAATCCTGGTGAGATCGATCTCACACTCGATAAATCATCTTCTAAGATAAAATTTGATGATAATCAAGACTATGAATTTACGTCTGAAGAGAAAACGTCTTCAGGAAATGAAAGGTATTATGAACCGGCACCTCGTTTCAGGCCGTTCCAAACCCACCCAGCTTATTACCAGGGAAGGTACAATAGGCCTTATGCTCCTAATTATTACGATCCTTACCACGGCCCTATACCTTTCGCCCCTTTAGTAAGGAACAGTTTTTATTCTCCAAATGGATGGAAAGCGAGGAGTCCGAGAGTGGTTTTTCCATACGCGACTGACAATTCAAATTCATTGGTACAGACCAATGGACATACAGGCCCAAATGGAGTGGATAACGTAGTGTTCAGGGACCAGAATTTTGGTACAAATGACATCGGTACAGATGAGCAGAGTCTACAGGACATTGGTACGGGCAGTGCTGACGCCTTTGCGGAGAGAGGTGAGTTATATAATACTGTATTTTTTAAATAGAGATGCGAATTTTTAGTATCGATAATTTCGAAAATAATCTCTTATATTAACAAAATCTTCCATCGTTCTAAGAATAAGTTACATGTAAACAATTACCGATAGAGAATAATGGAAACAACGTAAATGTGTTCAATGAAAAGTAAATTGTAGTATTAAACAACATTTTTTCCAACGCTGACTATAGTACACAAAACTATATCGACACATTTCTTCGTAAATAGGCACTTCCAAAAATCACCCGTGTACACTTAGTCGCGTATATATATGAATTTTCATGATGTGAAAATATACATTTTCGACAAAAAATAGCCCACTCTAAATGTGACATGACACTTTTTTTTATTTATTACCAATCAATTACATAGGTGCATTGCAAACAATTATTACACCATTTAGAAACCACTAGGGTTTGTTGTCTATATCGATAGTACATAAATCATATTATAATTAAGTAAGATTATTCTTAAGCAACAAAGTAATGAATGAGCTATGGTAATTACAATACAAAAACTGCTGCAGCAATTAAATGGTTTAAAAAATAAAGTTTTAATATTAATTATCGTTGATTGGGTTGTACTAAATAATTGAAAAGAAGGGTATGGATAGTTTAAATAGCCTTCTATTTAAATATTTTTGGTTTCACAAAGAGAAATCAGTTGTCAAAAAACAAACTAATAATACATAAAAAGAGGAATTTAAAAAATGACATCGCTCCAAAACAACGTAAAATTACGTACGGCTCTAAGAATACCATTAACATTATTGACAGCTGAAATATTTATTACTGTTTTATATAATGGCACTGGCCAGCACTAAAGTAAAAGGTTAGGAAACAGGAAAACCATCAACCAACCTGTCTGATGTTTAAACCTCGGATATTGTCGACAATATGAGAACTATCACCCAAATTGTATTGAAAACTGACAAGTATCGAAAACAAAGGTCAATACCATTAATTCAGGGTCCAAAATGAACTTGTCAGTCTAATTAACAGTCCTTGTCGATGTGCAAAATGCAAAAAAAACTATTTAATACAAACTATCAAAAATTGTTATTGAATATTAAACCATACTTTCGTTTGTATTGATTTGCATTTTCGAAAAGTGACAATTCGCGTGTACATTTCAAAAACGTCTTGGGTTGTGAAAAAACAACTTTTAATTAATGATACGTCAACTTCACAAATAACACTAATTAAAATATTCTATACGAGTCATTGGCGATGAAGAGATCTCATCACACCTTGAACCTCTACAACTGCGTAGAGACGTTCATCACTTAGCGCTTTTTATCGGATGTACCATGACGAGAGCTCTGAAGAACTGTTGAACCTTATCCCGCGCTCTCCTTTCCTGCTCCAAAGCACGCGTGCTGGCCTCCGTAGTCACCGTTTTACAACTAGCCGTATTCCATCGCGAGCTAAAAGGTTTGGTGGCACCTTCCTCTGTCGAGAAGTCTAAGTCTGTCTAAGAAATCTAAAAAAAATCACAATTGAAAAATTGAACTCCCTTCCAGGGCACACATTCCCTTCATCTTACGACACGGGATCCTTCAAACGAGGCGTGAAAAGGCATCTTGTAGGCATGCAGGGTGGAGGTGGCTAGAGCAGTGATTGTATCAACACTGCACTAGGTTCCATCACGTTTGGATTGCATTTTCCATTTTACATTAGGTGGAATGGAATCATTTGCCTATCACGTATAAAAAATACTAAAAATATGCTCTTCTTCTTCGTGTGTCGGTAAAAAAAATAATCGACTTGATTCTTCAGGCATGTTTCCGAAAGGATTACAGATTTATCGTCCGAAAATCCCTTCTATATTAATAGAAACAACGTTTAATGTTGGTTCTGATAGCGCAAATTTTTGTCCCTCATGAGGTTTGAGAGTTGCTAAGGCCTTGACGAAGGCTTTATTAAAATATTAATTTTTTTATAAAATCATTTAACTAACCTTCTCAAAACTGTATAATAAATATTCTGTTGTTATCTAACCACCACACGTAACCTGTTAAAAATAAACTACAAAATTATTTATTGAACCAATCTCTAATACTGGAAGACAATTTTTAACCAGTACAAATCGTTTCATAAATTGGTACTACCCGAAATCTAACTTTCCTATCTACTGCCAAAAGCGTTAACCACTGAACCAACGAGAATGTCATGGAAACTGATATTATAAATGCGAAAGTTTGTTTG